AGAAAGTAAAAACTTAATAGACGGAGTGGGGGGGGGGGGGGGGGGAAGGGAAGGTAGGCAGGCAGCAAATATGGAAGGGTAGTCATTTTTATACATACAGCTCAAATTACTATCAAATCCAATCAACTGCTACTGTTGTGAAGGTGAGAGAAAGGAGTATTTAATACTTCACAGGTACTTAGGATGGGACTATGGGTTTTGCACATCTAAGATCCCAGAATAAGACTTGGTCCTGGAGAAAAAAACCCCACAACTATCTGCTTATAGCCTTCAAGTTTTTGGTTTGCTCATCTTCTAGCAAGCAGCACTCAAGTTGCTAGTAAGGAAGTGTGGCCAGGTTGATCTCTATAACCTACACTTGGAACTGGCTTCCAGACTATTGCTTACATCATTACCCAGCTGGAGAGCTTCCTACTGGAAGACTGTGGACAAAAAAAAAAAAAGCACCAAATTTGCCTGTTAGCCTTGGGCTCAATCTCATGTTGGGCACAGGGTTCCCTTAAAAACAAAGGAACAAGGTCCCACATGGATCCTACTGCTTCCAAGTAGACTACATGGAAGGAGCCCTCAAAAAACAGCATATTGGCCTGAGGGAATGGAGTTCAGCCAGAGGAGCAAGCTGCCTGAGCATGCACACACCTACCACCCTGAAGAGGTCACCTTGATGACCAGCTGAGAGTAGTTATGAGCCTATAGACAGTTATGAACATGGCAGCCAACTCAGACTGGCATGCATTGCTGTTGTCCTAGCATGAACAGGAGCATAAGGTACAGGAGAGCTAGATGACAGTATACCAGGAGCAGAGGAAGCAAGAGAGAGAGTCAGTCCCACTTTTTAATAGCCTAATGCTTCCTATTAACTCCAGATTTTAATCTGCCTTTGGCTGGCACTGCAGCAGTCCATTATACCCACGTGGCCTCAAGTTGGTTTCCCCATTGCAGAAAAAGGGGAAAGAGTGAAGGCACCAGCCCATTTAAGCCAGAAGGCCAGGAATTTGGGGTTCCTAACTATTACAACCAACCCTGTAAAAAAAGTCTCAGGCAGTCACCAGTTCTGGCTTGACCTCAAGGTCACCCATCTCGGTCTCAGTTTGGTTTTTGGCACATGGAGCTTTTAGGAAAAAGTGCTTTTCCTGTGCAGTAGATTCTGGCTGGCATTTAATCCCAGTTCATTTCACTGCTGCAAACAGTCTCTTCAGGGAAGTGCAACAGGATTTTATAATGCAGGGTGTCTAGCACAGGGGTGGGCAAAATGCAGCCCGGGGGCCAGATGTGGCCCACCAAGCCATCCTCTCTGGCCTGTGGGGCCCCTAAAGAAAAAAGTTAGAAAAATATTTATCTGCTCCTGGCTGCCTGCCATATGGCCCTCAATGGCTTGCCAAAACTCAGTAAGCAGCCCCCCCCCCAAATAATTGCCCACCCCAATCTAGCAACTCCACTAAGTACCTGGACACCAAAGTGCCAGACTTTAAATGCCATTGAGTATATAGGGGGTTTATATTAGGAGTGCTGCACAGGCCTTTTGTCCCTTGTGGAGTTCCCCTTGGCACCGAGGAGCTATCTTGGACTCCTGCAACAGAAGTGCTCTCACTTCCAAGCCAGCTCAGTCACGTACATGCCTGGGAAAATGCTTTGGCTGACGAGCTGTGCTCTGAGCAGCTTTGCCCTGGAAGGGGAAGGGCCACAGCATTTGATTCTACCAGCATAAAGCCTGCATTATTTCATGCCAGTCCAGAAGGCCCTGCCACAAGGAGAGTGTTTAAATAACCAAAAAATGAGTAATTTATTCTGGGTCATACTGGACTCCACTACTCAAGATCACCCTTGCTTCACTCAAAGGTCTCAAAAATAGGTCTACATACCCCAATTAAAATCCATTTTAGTCTGACATGGACTGTGTGGCAATAGCGCCTTACTTTCTTGGCCAAGAACCATTAAAAGAAAAAAAAAAAAGAGTGAGGGTTGGAAGAGACTTTGAGCAGGTGGCTGGACCAGATGACCTCCCAAAGCACAGCCATCTCCCAACTAGATCCCAGCCAAGACAGACTGACTGTCTGGGTTTTAAAGCCTCCAAGCATCCCTTCCTTATTTCCAATTCCTGTAAGCTTAGTTCAAAAGCCACTGAGCACATGGTAGAGCCAGCAGCACATTTCTACTGTTACAGATGGCTAGTAATGCTCAGCCTCTAGCAGAGCTGGCAGGGGTGCTCAGTACACCCTGTATTTAGTTATTTGGCTTCTACTGTGCAGAGACTGCAGCATGGATACAAGAGAAGGGCTGGGTGGGATCATATTGACTGTTCTGCCCTATTAGAAGCTACTCTTGTTTCAGAGAGAATCACCTCAAAAAGAGTGCATGTTCTTCTCAGCCTCTTGAAGGCTTGGTCAAGCATAGTCTAGGACTACCTAGCAAGGGAAACACTGACTACAGAGATGGTCTTCTTAACTGCACTGGGGAAGACAGCTTGCTTGGCACAGGGATAGTACCTGCTATGGTAGTATATAGTAAAACTTCCCACATAGCTCCTGGAGTGGGAAGGTCTTGGCTTTATGCCCACTTCTTGGGAACAGGAGAGCTTCTTCCCTGACTTACTCCTGAGGCCAAGCAAAAAAGCTTAGGGGCATCCAAAGCACAAGCCTCCAGGCTTCAGTCTGCCTGCCAGAGCTTTTAGAAACATCTGAAGCCCCAGATGGGTGGAGGATGTTTGCCAGTAAACATGGCATGGAAAAATGAGACCCCCCCTCCCCCCCAAACATGTTTTAGCATTTAAACTGAGTGGAGAAGGAGTGCAGAAGTGGAAGCATTTGTATATTCTGAGCATTTCAGTCCATAGCTAAACTTCAGAGCCTACTCCAATTAAAGCTAGGAGATAAGAGCAAGCCTCAGGTACCCAAACACCAAGAACTAGAGCTACAGAGCTCCTGGGTAGAGTAGAGGAAGTGGCTTCTTTGTTTGAAGGAGTCCACTACAAATGACCCAATTTAGAAAGCCCTAGAAGTGCTGTGTGTTGGCATTCACAAGCCTGCAGCATGAAAAGCAAGTCACTCCCAAATAGAGACCATTGGCTAGAAATACTTCAGGTTAGCAGAGAGAAAGAGGAGTAGAAAAGCAATGGCAGGTCATGCTGCAAGCAAAACATTGAGCGCTCCATCATTCCACATCAGATCAGCATGCGCTGCAGAGTCAGATTTTTTTTTTTGCATGAACTTGATACACAATTGATTAAAGGTCACAAACCAAACAAAAGCAGCAGAAGTCAAGTTGCAAGCTCCTACCTGACTTATTATGAGTAGGATGGCAGCAATCATCAAAGCAGTACCCAGACCAATGGAGATATACTGCACATATTCCAGTATGGATGGAATCAGGACCAGGTTGGTATAGAAGTCTTTTAGGACTGAACCCTCAATGGAACCACTCTGAAGAGGAGAGAAAGTTAGTTTAGCAGGTTCTGTAAAGCAGAGTTTGGAGGTAGCAGCAACATAGCACTCCATTCTTCCAAGAATGTTGGGGAAAAAAAGCTTTAGACTATGTAACCCAGTCACAGGTAGGACATCATGCCAGGCCAATTAAAAGTTATTTTGTGAACAGAGGCTGCATTGCCTGCCTCTCCTCCCAGTTGTCATGGACTTCAAGGACAGAACTCCTTGAGAGCCCACTTCCTAGTCTTCAGTTCAGTAGCATCAAATTCTTTGGACAGGCATGTCCTGCCACATGTTCAGGTGACAGATACTTGCTTGTCTACATACACATGGCAAACTCCAACTGAAACATCTGGACAGGAGACATGGTCAAGTTAGCCCCTCCTGTCCCTTTCAGTATTGCAATGGAAGAGTGCACAGCTGAAAGTGCTGAAGAGTAAGCTTGTGCCAAGAACTGCAGTGGAGATCCTGGAGGTCTAGCCTTTGAATGTTGGTAGTCACCCAATACAATCTTTCTAATCCTTTCCTCATGCTGCAGGTCTTTGGGAACCACCTACACTTCCCCAGCATTTCTCTCTCCAGCATTTAAAGTTTTGCAGAGCTGGCACTTGTTTAGCCACAAGGGAGAGCCAACTCACCTCTCCAAACCAGATTATAGGCAAAATGACTGGCTTGATCCTCCCTGTTTGCCTGAAGGAGGAAAACAAGAAATAAGTTTTACCCTTATGCAAGTTCAGCTGGCTGGTCCACACAGGCTGTAAGGGTTCCAAGTCTTTCTGAAGGGAAGCTACTCAAAATTGTGCATGAAATATTAACATTAATGTTTGACAGATGGGGTGCCAAGTCCCAGGTTAAGAAAGCAAAAAAAGGAAAGGCAAGCTGCTATGGACAGTTGAGAAAAGATACAGAATGATTTTGTTAGAACCCAGTAGGCACCACAGCCTCCCTCCAACCCCCTTACAGAAATGCTATGACAAGTTCAGGAATCCTAATAAAGATAGGAGTAGAATTAAGCTCCATTGGTAGACTCTCCTGCTGCAGTACAGCTGTTTGCTCTAGTCCCTGTGGTCCAAGGCTTGTACTGGGAAGCACAAGAGGAGCTTTTCAACCGGTCTCTTGCTCCTCTGGAAGTGGCAACTTACGTTATGCCCGAGATCCGTTTCATGAACAGATTCATTTGCAGCTTGATGGAACAATTCATGGGAATGCCAGTCATCTGCCAAAAGATGCTTGCATTGAAAAATAACTCAAGATAAAAAACAAAAACAAAAAACCACACACAAACAAACTTCACATTTAGTTATGCAGATGCTACCATGACTTGTGGTTGTATCCAGCTAATGCTGGTCAACTGGAAGAACTTATGAGAACTGCCAAGCTCAAGGGGATGTTACCATGAAGAGTTGAGAGACCAAAGTCCTCCCTGGTCACAAGGAAGTCTGTTCAGAGAAACCACCTCTACTTAATCTATCCTCTAGTCTCTCCATAAAACCTTCCTAGTGCAAAGCTATTTAAAAGGTTGGAATATGGAGGGATTATACATTTACTTACCATAGCCTGCAGCTACTAGATGAGAAGGTTAAATTGTGTAGTATGAAGGCTTTCATAGAATCAGAAAAGTGAGGGTTGGAAGGAGCCTCAGGAGGTTGCATCTAGTCCAACCCCCTGCTCAGAAGTAGGGCCAACCCCAACAAATCATCCCAGCCATGGCTTTGTCTAGACAGGCCTTAAAAGCCTCCCAGGATGGAGAGTCCACCATCTCTGGGTAGCTTGTTCCAGTGTTTCACTGCTGCACTCATGAGAGCTCTCAATACCCTCCCCCAACATTTCCCTTGCTGCAACTTGAGCCCATTGCTTCTTGTCCTGTCATCTGCCACCACTGAGAACAGTTCAGCTCCATCCTCTTTGCAACCCTCCTGCAGCAACTTGAAGGCTGCTATTAAAATCCCTCTCAGTTTTCTCTTTTGCAGATTAAATAAGCTCAGTTTCCCCTCACAAGTCATGCCAGCCCCCAAACCATTTTCACCGCCTTCCCCTAGTCTCCAATTCTGTAGCAGGAGGCCTAAACTGGACACTACTCTAGAGGTGGCCTCCGGGGCAGAATAAAGGGGGAAATAAGTCACTGTCCTTGATCTGCTGGCAACACTCCTAAATACAGCCCAGTATGCTTCTAGCCTTCACAACAGCACACTGTTGGTGATTTAATTAAGTTTATTACAGTTTCTCTCTAGAGAAGCTTTTACCATTATGGACTTTACTTACAGAAGTATGCATAGACAATAAGAGGTGGGGAGAAACTAGGTCCTTTCCAAGAGGTAAAGTACAATTCTCAGTCCATTATTGGACATACTGGCCAAATCCATATAGCAATCTCTACTCTGGCATGTTTTCTAGCATGAAGCAGTGCTGCCCTACCTTATTCTGGAAATTGATGCTTACACTAGAACCATTTTGATCAGCAGAAGGGGGGGTGGGAAGTGTCATGGCAAGTACCAGTCTCCTACCTCTAGCTTGGGTAGGATTGCATTGTCTACCATGCCAGCCTTTGCACTCTACAGGATTGGGAGACTCCAATGGCCTGCCAGCAGTCTGAGTTCTTCCCTAGGATTCTATGAGAGTAGCTCTAAAGTATGATCTTGTAGAGGCTAACAATATAGAAAAAGTGAGCTTTCCTGTCTATTATTCATTGGAAGCAGCACAGCACAAGTAGAGAGTCATAGGTGCCAGCCCAGAGAAAGCCTTAAAATACAAAGTAAATAAAAAAATTCACCTAGCAGAACTCAGCCTACTAGAGAAGCTGGATAATGTGTCAGGATGGGCTTATTTTAGGTAGTATACTAGGAATGGTCTATTTAGTAGTAGGTCATCAAAAGATGTTTGTTCCCCTAGTTGTAATCCTGTAGCTTCATAACCGCTATGAACGCTTCATAGGATAAGCACCAAGAAGTACCCCCATTAGTAATCAAGTATGAGCAGGCAACTGGGCTACTTGCCCCACCCCCAGCATCAAGCACTGCACTTTGCCATTTCCTTGGAATATGGCATGCAGCGAGATTTATGAAGATATCCACTTGTCATGTAGCGCTGATTAGAGTGGCCATGACTAAACACTGAACTCTAATGCCAGTAAGAGTTCCTCCACCGGGCCCGAGGGTATAAGCTATGGTAGCCAGCTGTGCTCAGTTCCCCTGCCCCCTCCCCCCCATGAAGGAGCAAGGAATAAGAGACTAACATCCCATTTCACCAACTCCAAGAGGTCCAGAACAACAGGAGTTGCTCAGAGGTAGGACTAGCTGTAACTGAATTACTTGTGATACTTTATCTGATCTGTTCTCTGCAAGTTGCGAAATAAAAAGGTGCGCCAGTAAATTTATTGTTTTACAGGGATTTTAATCTAAATGTGTCCCTGTAATAATCACCATGTCTTTGCACTATGGAACTGCTCATGGCAGCATGCCATAGGGCTGAGCATGAAGCTGAAAAAGGTAGCCAATTCCATTGACCATTTGATATAGGGGTACTTTTGAAAGAGGCCTTAAATTTTTCTGCTTGAGCTCTGAAAAAAAATTATGTAGGGTATACACTATGGCTTGCTCACTCAGATCCCTCTAGTTCAGCTTTAGTCTTCCCCTTTCAGGAGGAGAGATGCACAGCTTGGAGACCAACTCACTGGGTGTATATCCAAGAAGAGCCCATGCTCCTTTGTGGGATGGAGTCCACCAACAGCCTCTACTAGGACTGGGTCAGCATTGTAGAAGTGAGGATGGGAAATGAATACTGGTGCATCTGCGCAGAAAGAAAAAAAGGGGTCACAGCAGAAGGTTCATGATAATAGGCTTGTTTAGACAAGCTGACCAACCACTATGGGACCATCTGGATTGGAAGAAGGGCCCCTGCAAGTCCTTCATACAGATACCTACAATCCATTGTGGGCACCAGGAAGTTGGGACTAAGAGGAGATTTTAGTCCTACTGCTAGCAGTTGATCCTATTAGGAAGATTGAACTTAACCTTCTTTGAAATCATACTGGGTTCAGTAACCCTAAAAATCAGGGCTCCTGGGCATAGTTGGGTTGCTGACAAGCCAGGCTTTGCTAACCAGATTAGTTACCCTTCCAGGGCCTCCCATCTTGCAGCCAGTTGGAGAATCTGGCTTAGTTTGGCTCCTTGTCAAACAAAGGAGCTGCTGCCTACTCCTTAGTGTAACAGGAGTACCCAGCTTCTCTTAGCTACCCAACCTGCATGCACTGCTCGAACCTATGGTAAAAGCCTTGCATATGAAGTTTCATGGACCTTGTTTTTAGTCTCCTGCAAAATGCTCATCTCAAGGAGTCGTGAGACCTGTACTAGCTCCATATGCAGGACAAGCCAGATTAAAAAAAAAAATAGTCCACAAAAGACAAAGTGTTTCAGACCCTCTAGGACAGGGTTTACTATTATTGATGGTTTGTGTTTAGTAAAACCAGATAAGCAACTTTAGGATATACAGCAACAGGTAGTAGCCATAGGTGGTAGGCCTTTATGGAAAAGCACTGGACCCACTAATAGCCAATGGTTCAGCCAGAGTGTGAAGAACACCCATTACATTTCAGTACAGCTGGAAAGAGCCCCAGACCATCCCACTGGGACTTGAGAAATAACTAGTGCAACTTCAGAACATGCAAATATTACAAGCAAGAATAGAAGTGTCCTAGGCATTTTGCCACCCATTTCTATTGACCTCTAAAGAGGTATGCAAGCTACTTGACACTATTTGCAGTACCTGGAAACTATTCAGTTTACCATGAATTTTAAGAGCTTCACACTCCTGGTCTTTACATTACTATACAACATTTGGACATATCTTGCTGGGATCCTTTGACCCCACCTGACTTCTTGCTCTTGGGGCAGGACCCAATGATCTTCTGAGGTCCCTTCCAGCCCTAATGCCTATGAAAAAATGTAGAATATGCCCCTCAAAGAGGGCTTGGGAGGGAGGTCTATACACCATTAAGTGTGGTTTTGACAGTATGAGAACGATGAAGGAGACTGAGGGGGGAAATACCACCACTGGTCATTTGACATTGGGGAGTCTGCTGGGAAAAAAACCACACCTCACAGAGCAACTTAGACAGGAGACAAGCCTTACGCAGACAGACATACTTAGTCGGCAGGAGCTGATGTTCTGGACTCCAGACTCCCTACAGGGGCAGAAGCCTTCATTTGGAGGGTAGTCCGTTCCATTGGCAAACAGAGTCTTTGGAGCCACATAACGAAAAGTTGGTATCCCTTTAAATTCTCCAGGCTGCTCATACACCAGTGTCATGGACCTAGAGGGAACAGAACCAGTCTTACATGCTACATACAGCAACAGGCTGCAGAACCGACTCTGAAATGCAATGGGACACTCCCATGGAGGGAAAAGGCTTGGAAGGAGTGTTACATCTAGGGTGTTATTCCAGTAGGGAACAAAACAGCAGGACCCACTAAGAACACATTAAATTTAGGGGCACTAAAGGGAAGTGCAAGAAGCATCCTTTGGCCTTATGCTGCAGTTCCTACATTCTTTAGGAAAAAAGGGCTCTTCTGTCCACCATCATGGTGAGTGTTTTTTCTAGTTTAGAGGCCCATGATCTGGTGCACAGCCCCATGCCCCTGTGCTCAGGAACACAGGTGGCTTCCTCCATGGAGGAAAACAATCCCATTCAGTGCAGCTGCCAGGCACAGCACTTCTGCAGGCCAAGAGATCCTATTCAGGCAGTGTAGGGTTAGCATCCAAGAATGGCAAGGGGCCTCAATATGGAAGGGCCCAATGCTGCTTGTTCAGTGGGATAAAATAAATAAAATGGTAAAAGGCTTGTCTAGTTAGTTCTGGAACAGATTGCTGCCTGGCATGGGACCAAGGACACTACACCTCCTGCCAATACAGTATTGCTGAAAGGCCCTTGTGTTTTTTTTTTTGCCATGTAGCAACAAAAATTGTCCTCGTTTGAACCTCAAGAATTGAGATTAAGGTCACATTTAAAATCAGGAAGTTTGACCCTGCACCCTTGAAACTATTTTGCTTGAGAGCCACTGGCCAAAACATGCAGGTGTTCATTTTATGGTTGGGCAACCTGTGTATTCACCCAGTAGCCAGTAAAGGGCTTAGGCAAGTATTCAGTTCCTTTCACTATTACATGAAGGCAAAGACATGCTATAGCTAGATGGCTCCCCAAATGCTATAGTTGAGGCAATGTCTCAAGTTGGAAGCAAGCTTCAGCCCCTATGTGGAAAGATAGACAGCTGAGTCAGGAGATGCTCTTGGAACAATTGCCTCTTTACAACTAGGAGAAGGTGAGATTTACTATCGAGTTTTCATTGAAGTGAAAAAAAAAAGTACCCTCATCTCCTAGCTAGGATACTGGAAGTAAGTGCAGATGACTCTTCAAGTAGCTTTGATACAGAAGTTGGGTGAAGAGATATTAGGAAGAGGAGGTTCTCTGCAAGTCAAGGAACTTGACCTCTACAAGAAACTGCTCTAGACAGTCTCAGGGTTTGTGACTATGGTAGTGGTCTAGTGTTCAGAGCAAGGAATTGGTATAAGAACTCAAATCCTACCTGTGCTATAGGTTTAGGTGCCAGCCAATCCCCCCACTAAGTTAGGGATTCTTCTGTTTCCACCTCTCCTCTTGTGGGGAACTGCACCTTCCCCATCTGAAGGTGGCTCAAACAAAACAAGTCTAATCAGGTAGACAGCCACCATCTATTTCCTGGCTCCCTCTTAAGGGCATGTGGGACTTCAGTTCCAAGTCATGACTCGTCCTTCTTTGGGTGGACAGCTGATGGCTGTAAATCACTGAAGCCAAGAGGTAGCACCACCCTTCATAAGCTTTTGCCTTATTGTTGGTAGCCAGGCAGACTTCTGCACATCATACCTGCAGGCATCAGGACTATAAAACTCCAGAGAAGTAGAAGGAGTCATGAAAGGTGGCCACATTTCTCCAGAAGTCCCATTGATCATATTACACTGCTCACTCCGCCAATATTTTGTCTGCAGGAAAAGTTAAAAGTTAAGGAAGAACCTCCTGGATGCATTACATTTCACTCAGACATGCCAGCCAGCTAGAAAACTGCCAGTTTGCTTGCCTCCATCCCAGCCTGGTATTAGGAACCAAACTATTACTTCAGCTCCAAAGCTCTCCTTGGCTGCTATCCAAATGCTAGCCATCCAGCTAGAGACTTTTCTGAGGTTACACAAGCCAGACTCATCCCCATCCAATTAGAGGTCCAATCCATATTAAGATCAATTCTCCCCCAGCTGTGGATCTGCAGCCCATGCTTTTAAAAAAAAAAAAAAGACTCTGCCAATTAGAAGCTGTGCAGTCATCTGGTTCAGAAGTGATGCCACATAGCACTGCAACCCAGATCTTATTTTCCAAACTCCCCAACATCTTTACAGTCAGCAGGTCCCACTTTGAAAGTGTGAGGAATCCCACCTAAGGCAGCTTGTATTTTAATGGCAAATCAATATTGCCATTTCTCTTGAATCTTAGCATGCCCAACAGTTCCCCCATCTTGGAATCTGTGTCAGTAATGCTAGCATGGGGGTTTTGCTACACAGATGCAATACAAGAATTGAGTCAGAGGCATTTCTGGACAACATAGTTTAGCTAGCACTATTGCAGCAGACCAGTGTTCTAGGGAACTTGGCTTTTACCTCTCTCATCCCATTCCATGTATCCACCATATGGACTTTATGGATGTCCTTCACCCCCGTATACACAGTGAACAGTCCTGAATTAGAGTTATTAAACTGCACAAGAGAAAAAAAAGATAGGTGTGAGCTTTTCCTACAATCCATCATATCCAATTCCAGTTTCATGGTCATTTCATACTAACGGGGTCATTACATTTTGATTGTTGTTTGTGTTTTTCCTAGATGTACTCCTTATCTAAGGTAAACTGATATTTTCCTGCCAGAAGTATTGAGCAATGTTTGACAGGGAATCCTTTGGACTCCTGCTCACCTTCAAAGCAGCAGCAAGTTGGTGCTACAGCTCAGAGCGCAGAGAATAATGCCTCAAGGAACTGAAGACTACTTTTAAGTTCAGATAAATACTTCCCTTTGTTTTATGGGGTGCATCATAGATTTTGTTCCTTTGCTACATGCAACTGCAGCAAAGAAACTCACTTTGTGGACAGAGGGAGAACCAAGAAGTCTGTCCCACAACTCAATGTAGGCATTTTAGCCTTGCTAAGCACAGGTGTACTTACATCAGTAAACAAGCCAAACTTCCCCTTGAAAGGGAGCAAGCCAGGTACAAAGGTGTTCAGTATTGTCAGAAGTGGATCATCATACCCCCACAGGATCTCCCCCACTGTCCGGTTCATAAAAGGCCCCTGTTTCAGGCCAGACAACGCAGTACTTATCATCATCTTCAGAAAGCTGGGGAGATTCTCCATCATGACCGCTCCCCCCTGAAAGAGAGGTTCAGGAAATCACAATACTAGCTAGTGTCCATTCAGAACAGTCTTCAGGAATACAACAAGCAAGCTGCTACTGCCCTGCTCAGCCAGTGGGTCAGAAACCATGGCACACCTCATCCCAGTACCACAGCCTTCTGCCACTACCTCCTACTCTAAAATATAGGCTAGACAACAACTTTCATCTCAACTGTGCCAAGTTCTGATTCACAAACCTGCTCTCCCCAGGTTTGGGTTGCAACTTAAGCCAAGTTCACCCCAACTCAAATCTTAACCAGTATGGTTTTTATCTAAGCTCTCCAGCTTTCCTCCCCATGCCTCTCCCTCTAGGAGGAAGAGGCAGGGGCACCCAGGTGGTACATAGGGTTGTGATGGATGTGACCTTAGAGTATGCTCAAGAATCCTCCAAGGAGGAACTTCTGCATAAGGGGTGGGTAGAAAGGCTAATGGCGATGCAGGACATGCTCTACTGCCATTTAGTACTAATGGAAGCTCCTGTGGCTCACTCAAGAAGTCAAGCCACAAGACACGTCTACTCCAAGTTACTCCCCACTCCAGGCCAATGCTTTACTAGCATACCTTTAAGTCCATCACCTCCAGCCACATGCATTATTTCTGGATGCACCTCAACCCCCTGAGAAGATTATTCTGTTCCCCAGAAGTGGGGGGTGACATGACAGCATTTCAGTCTTAGGAAAGCATGACCATGGGCTTTATAGCTGCTTCTCCTTGTCTGCAAGGGGACCAAGTCTTGCAGAATCAGCTTCAGATCTTTTGCTATTCACTTATGAGTCAAGTCAGTAAGGAAGAATAGTTGCAACTACAGTTATCAACACATGTCCCTAACTTTAGGGATGGACTGGCAGCTACAGCTACCATCATGTGGTTGAAGATCTAGTTTAAGGCTAGGGTTCATGCACTAGAGGATATTACATTGTTACTGCTCTAGTGGGTTTCCTTCATTTGATGGAGAAATATTAGGAGTTTCTGGTAGTCTCACCAGCATCAGGATGTTTGGTACAACAATGTGATCTTCTTCCTTTCCATTAGACATGTCAGGTTGGAAGTGAAAATGCCGATATTCCAGGAATGAAACAGTGTCATTGTCATGGAAAGTGATGTTGGTTTTAAACCGGTGTTCCCTGTGGAAAGAGATAACCAACAAGTCATCATAGGAGTGCTTTGCAGTGGTTGATAACATACTGGCAACACCCCGCTGCATGAACAGGAGCAGAGCTTACACAGCAAGTTAAGGTTTTGCTGACAAAGCTGAAACTGAGGGGAAGTCAGTGTATTAATCCCATTAGGGATTGGCTACTCTGTTTTTCTCTGACAGAAAAAGTGCTGGTCTGAAATGGAAACACTAGGAACACAGGCAGCCATTCTTTTTTATAGCCCAGATCTGGGACATCTAGAATATGAGCGCCTCTGAACCAGCTGTACTGTTTACCTCTGCAGGTAGAGGCAGGAAGGGAGGCAGGAAGAGACCATTTCCTGGTTTTTATTCTCTATGCAGAAGGGAAGGGAAGGTCAGCCAAGCAACAGGAACAGGGCAGACTGACATGAGCAGCACACACACACACCAGGCTATTTGACAGTTAGCAAATACCACCAAGTCATGTCAAGGATGCTCAGCAGGTTGCCAGCAGGCATCTAGAGGCTTTGGGCATTCTAGAAAGCACTAAGGGAGGTCTCAAGACCACTACAACAGGATGTCTGTCACCATCCAAGCAAGGGTATTTGATACCAACAAGCTTGCCTTCATTTTAGTTCAAGGAAAGAACCAAGCTTATTAGAAGCCAGCCATTTGCTTATAGAGGCACAACATATCAACCAGCCATGTGACTTGGGTAGTGCTGACCTAGCAAGTCAGAAACAGGAGTGATCACTGACCTAATACCCAGACATCTTGTGGTTTAGGAGCCAGCCTTCCTATGCAACTTTACCTAGTCTGTCCAGCCTACCTTGTGTGGAAAGGGGGTGGGGGTGTCAAGTTTCTTCCCTACCCCCAAGTGCAAAGTAGGAATTCAAGTCCATCGTGATCCAGGGTCTGGGTTCTTGCCCCCCACCCCCTTAAATAGCTGCCTTAGAAAGGGTACAAAAGGTGCAGAAAGAAAGAAAACCAGTAAGTTTGGAGAATCACACCCCAGTTGCTTACAGGGCCAACCTCAGCCCAGAAACTTAGAATAGCGAGCTGATGCATTGCAGCCAAAAGTTGGAAAGTTTGAAGTGTTATTGCATCTTCCCTCCACGTACCCAACTGCAATGGAGATCAAGAGGTAACCTTGAGAAGCAAACTAGTTGTCAACTTGACAGCACTGCAGACTGAACCCAAAGAGGCCTACCCAGCCAGATCCCCATGGTGCACAAGACAGAAGCTTCAAGCCATCCAGATGCCAAACAGGTACCTTCCCTTGCAGTCTGCCTGGGGCCAGGTCAAGCCATCAGCCCAGTACCAATACAAACCTGTAGACATAAGGTCCGCGTTCGACCACCATAGGCTTCGCCCCATTAACCACCTCTGTCGGATTTACCACTTCAAAAAAGTGGATGGAGAGATAAAAAGGAATAGGAAGGTCTTTCCACATGTTGAAGGAGATGCTACTGGGATCAATCCTCACATTCTGCAAGAGAACAGATGCATTTAGTCTTGGTCTTCACCACCAGTGCCATGTTCCTACTTAAATACAGTGATCTATGTGCATGGCTCAAAGCCCCTTGACCCAGGTTTAATATTCAGAGCTGCTGGAGAAAGTGATTCCCCATGAAGCAAATGGGGAAGAGAGAGGCATCTTGAAAGTCAGTCTCAAAGCAGGCCTCAAGTTTATGGAGCTCCTTTAGTGAGGAAGCCACAAAGGAGGTACAAGAAGTAGTTAGGGAGATGCAACTCATTTTCTGGAGAACTGGAGCCATTCCCCCTTTGCACTAGAAGCAGCCCACTTTAGGTTTAGTCACTGTATTACTTCATATACAGGAGCGGTGAGCTCTTGGTACAGAATGACATTAAAAAAAAAATGTCAATGTTCACCCACTTTGGGCTCAAGTTTCAGCTCCACAGTGCTGACATTTAATGCCAGGCTACAGTGTAAGCCACCCGTGCTGCAGGGCACATGGTGGGCTAGTTTGCCAACATCCACTTTACTTGTATTGTGGTACACCTTTCTGTGCAACAAGGCTGGGAATTCATCAGTGCAACTGTTGTTGTAAACACAGCTACTTCCATACATAGGACCAAGATTGTGTGTTAAGACAAGACACCAGAAGCAATTAAGAGGAACCTTGCTATATGCTGCCCACATGCACTTCTCCACACCAGCTACTGTTCTTGTAGAGGCACAAGTGCTATAGCTAATGGCAATAAAGCCGTCATGCTGGGGATATCTTGGTCATCACAACTAGCACATGTTTTCATCTGCAAGTGATTGAGAAATTAGAGTGCTGACTACAACAGCTCCTGCTAGTCTTAGGACACCCAGGTCTGCTTTCTAGACTCAGAAGACCTTAGGTCATTCACTCCATTTAGTCAAGATCCATCATTTAATGATATAATCTTATTTTAGGTTAAGTAAGCGCTCCCCCACCCCGCAAGGAAGGCAGAAAGTCACTCAGTTGCTACTTTTGTCTTCCTTGCATGAAGCACCATGTTAGTTTTTTCTCCTTGATCTCAGACCCTGTCCAAGAACATTGACCTCGTTTAAAGACAACCTCTTAGATCAGGAGTGACAGCAGTCTCAAACTGAACTAGAAGTATCCAGTCTGAGGCTAGTTGATCTCAGGTAGTTATCTTGGCTTGTCAGGCTAACCGTTAAGCCTAATTTTAAAAAAAGTCAGAGTGAAGCTTTAGTCCAGCTTTGTGCTGGATTGATCCAACCTGCACACTGGCATGCCTTGTACCAATTCACTACAACCATCACACATGAAATAAGCTTCTGACCTTTCCCTAGTGTGCAACAGATTTAGAAAGAGTCCCTGAATCCTGTGCAGTGAAGAGCAGGTTTGACTACAGCAAATCTGAGCTGGGCAGAAGTTTTATTTCTCTCTGCTATGGAGAGAGAGACACTGCTCATTTCCCCATTTATAGTCATTGCTGAAGCAGTGCCCATTCAACATCTACAGCTTTCAGATTAAGGCACATGACCAAACCTTAACTCTACACAGAGTTGAGATGAGTAACTTCCCCAAAGCCCGGCTAACCCACATATAGAGAAAGTTGTTCAAGAGGCAATGTGTCCATCGCAGCCATCTTACAAGCCAAGAAAGCTAGGCTACAGGTGGACTGGAGGGAAGTTGAAGAGCATTATGCACAGCAAACAATGTTTTTAGGATGTGACCAAATTTGAATATGCCCAAGCAGTTTCTCCTTTCAAGGGGATTTACATCCTAGATGCTTAACAGATTAAAATTGTTTTGATAATTAGTCAGTTAAGGAATTTCAGTATACATGCTACCCTTTTGGTACATGTTGCTGTAATTCAACCCCCAAGGATTTCCCAGCTAGGAGTTTCAGGCACCCCAGTCTACAGCTTTATTCACCCAGCTTGCAGTCAGTTGGCAAGACAGTCAGTCTCCTGGGCACTGCTGCCCAAACCCTAGTTCAAAGGGCAACTAATTTTCCTCATACCAAGTTAGAGGTAACTTCCAATTAAATCAACATTCCATAGTCATAAGTCTAACATATGATATTAAGGGAGGGGGAGGCTGGGAAAAAAAAAGAGGGACAGGGCAAGGATTACAAGCAATTAGACCCTATGACTGTAGGCACTGGTTAAATTAGTCAGTGCTAAAGTTGAGAGGCATGACAGACTACTTAACTTTTGGCATGCTTGGCAAAAAAGATTGTACTGAGCACAAATGCATGTAATCAGTTAACCCACCTCATGTTCCTCCACATGCCACACTAATTCCCTTCCACTGCTCAATTCTCTGCTTTGGTTCATGTTCCCAGCCCTTTATTCTGACTACTCTGCTTTCTGCTCCCTCCCCTGTATTCCCTGCTCTGCTTTCCAACTCTTCCCCAATCTGCTGCATGCAACTGAGACTGCCTGTGCCATTCATGGCACCCGTGCCCCAGGCAGGCCAACCCTCCATTATGTCTTGCTCATAATGCCCATAAGTTATGCTGGAATCCTTCAACTGCTCAGTCATAAGCAAGACTTCAAGCTACCAAGAGTGAAGCAAAATCATAATCCCCTAGCTAGAGGTCAGAGTGGATCTGTTCAATAGCTGTAGAGGGCTTCACATGGAGAACTGAACTCTTGGATGGATTCTTCCAGCTAGACATCTCCTAGTTGGGGCTTGCCCCAGTAGTCCAGCTGCTTAAGTTACAACACATGCCAATACCCTATTAGAAAGCACACACTACTTAAATGCTTCTAGCTGGAAGTGGCCTGAGGTTACACTTGCAGTCAAAGATGAAAAGCAAGTCATCACAAGAATAAGTTAGCACATGAGAGAAGGCCTCCTGCTAGGGGCTAGGAAGAAAAACAAAAACATCTCATTGTTATTGCCTGGGTATTTTCTTACAGAACCAGTTAAGCAAGAGCAGAGAGGCTCTTCCACTTTCTTCCAATTGAGTGGCTCCTACTAGACTGGAAGTTTGGCTGACAAGGCCGAATTCCCCCAGCTCCGGTTAAGGAACAGTTCTCTACCCAGCACATGGAGCACAACAGGAGCACATCCTCTGTTACTGCATTGCTGAGCTGCATGGAAAATCCTTGCACCGCTCCATACCTCACTCAAAATGAAGTTAGGTTCTCATGAGATGAGATAAAGTTAAAAAAAAAAAAAAAAAAAAAAAAAAAAAAAAAAAAAAAAAAAAAAAAAAAAAAAAACACTAAACAAACAAGAAACCCCACCCCCCCAAAACACAAGCAAACAAAAAAAAAGAGCCACAAACAAAGCCACCACCCCTCCCCCCAAAAGGGCAAGCAATACAGTACTCCCCTCCACCCCAATGGAGAGGTGGGATCCAGGCACACTCCATTCACCTTCTTTCTTGACTCAAGAGCTCTCTTCTCTCTGAATCATGAGCTGGAGTGTGTGGAAAAAAAAAAAAACAGAACAATTCTTGCAGTTCGTGCAAGAACACTGGCAATTCATGCCCATTTGGATAAGATGTGGAAAGTATCTTCTTTTGCCAGATCTGCTGCATCTTAACAGCACCTCCCACCCCAGCAAAGTAGAAGAGACCTTGCATAAGAAGTCCAGACTCACATTAGCTTGTGCCTGTAGGCAGACTCCACTATTCGACTGAGCCAATTAATTTTGTTGCCTCCTCCCCAGTTAATCACTCAATGGATCACAGGTGTAGGCCATTTACTTATTACCTGCATCATCTTGCACTGAGTTGCCAGATAGGGTTCCTCCAGCATGGACACTTGCACAGCCATCCTTTCCCACTTTGGAAGTCATTAAGGCTACATTAGCACTCCAATACAAGGAAGTTGCACGATACTGCCAAAGGCAGAATTTAACTTTCTGCATCTTGTACATTAAGAAGCTTTTTATAGGTCTAGATGTTTGGACAAAGAACCAGGGCTAAAGTTAACTTGCATCTGGCAGATACTGTGGTCTGCCTACAGGTGACTGTGGGCTCAGCATGTCTCTGTGCCTACAACCCTCTTCTCACCTGGAAAAGAGGGGACAGTGACTCCACCTGCAGGAGTAAGGAAGTCCTCACCCATTGCATGCATCCATGCCATTCAGGAACTCCAGAAGGCACTAGCCACAGTCCCTGATCCTGCTACTGGGCTGCAAACAGACTGAAGTACAAAGGCAGTCTCTGGCTCCTACTGTGTACTTTAGTGAAGCCATCTGTTACATCTGACCAGAGTACACAGACCCCAAAGGTTTCAAGGCCTCTACAGCAGCCTTGAATTGCCAGTGCCAGCAGTTTTAAAGTCTGCCATGAGAGGTACTGACTGGAGCCCTCTGTGCAAGGAGAGGGTGCAGCGAGAGTGCAGTACACGCTGTTCCTCCAGTCAGGGAACAGTTTACCTTGATGCTGACAAGTGCATGGTCACATCCCCGCCTTGTTTTTTTTGGTCTGGTGGGTAGGAAGAAGGGGAAGAGACCAAACACAGACTACTTGCGTCATCTCTCCTCAAGCCCTTATCCCATTTGGGAATTTAAAGTGGCCAATACCAGCCAGTCCAAAGCCTTGCCATGCCATTCTTCCGAGACACTGTTGCTTGGGTTTTTTTGCTCTGAGGACAGCAGAAGGGAAGACCTGTCGGATCACTTGTAACAAGCTTTACCCTCCACCCTGCAGCACTTTCCATAGATCAGCTTCCCTATGTTAGGCCCTCCAAACAGGAGGAAGGAGGCTGGGTTCATCCTGAAACAAGAGAGTCTCGATAGATCTTGGGCAAAGCCCCTTTCCCAACTTTCTGGAGAGGGAGGCAGGTGACTCCATGCTCCAGATGAGCCTATTGCCACCAGCTGGTGTTTACAGGAGGATCCTCCCTCCCCATCCTCCTACTTGAGCTTCTCTCAAGAAGCAAGAGACTCACAGTCAGGTTAAAGAGCAACACATTCAAGTGACCAAAGATGAACCACAGAGCTGTGCATCAAATATAGGCAGGTTTAGAAAGTTAGTGCACATTCTCCTTCCCAGCACGCACGTGTATTAATTCAGTACTCCCTTTGCTGGTTATCAGCAACCATTTTGCCTCGCTCTGTCACCTGGCTTTCTGCCATCCAAGAAGGAGTCCCTAACAGCCAGGACAGGGACCTGAATACTCTTGCTAGACAAAGCTTGCTCATTAGATCCAGTTGGGCAATGCTAAAAAAAAAAAAAAAAAAAAAAAAAAA